ACGTGACTAAGAAAACGTAACGGGATTGGCTTCCCTTTTTACACTGAATTTAGACGCCGAATTTAAGACGGTGAAATAGAGCCAGTTGAATCTCAGGAGGCTGAAAATATTAAGTTTGAATTTTGAAAGGTTGAATTTTTTTACATGCTGATTGTTTTAACACTGAAAAATAAGCATTGAAAATGTAATCACTTTTAAATAGTAATGTGATTTTTTAGCTTGAAGAGAAAATAACAAATGAAATTTCAACTGTGTAGAAATAATGACAATGAATTTTTTTTTAGGTCAAAAATGTGTTCTGAATATATTTTATTTTATATTTTACACTGAAACAGTAAATACAAACATACATTTAAATTTCAGCGGCATTTTTAATTCAAATCCCAGCGAAACAGATTTACTTCCATAATTTTCTCATTAACTAAAAATAACAAAAGCCGTTTCTCATCATAACGGGATGATTGGTGCTTATTAAAACTGATTCCATCCTTCAATACCACAACAGCAGGAGAGGATTTATAAGTATAAGTCATGGCAGCCTATGTTTGATTCTATAAATAATCCTGTGTTTAACTTTACGCAACGAGACGACTCAGTTGGTTTGATTATTTTTTTTCCTATTGTGAATAATGCGCCATTAGACCTATGCTTCCAGCGGCGTAGCGCCGCGTGGTTTCTGAACGGCCCGGTGTTCCGCCTGTAACAGCTATAAGATGCATTAACCCCCAAAATGAGTCCAGAATAAAGATTTTAATTTAAAAAAAACAGTCAGATTAGTTTCTGCTGTATTCCATGCAATCCAATCATCCACCATGACCTCACAATGAGTGAAAAAACTAGGAAACTAAAAAACAGATTATTTGCGCACAAGTGGTACCATGACTGCACAACTATGGGCCCCATAGGCATGGATGGACTGGGAATCCAGGGCTGCTGGCCAGCCTCATTCATTACTCAGACAGGTTAATCATCTCGTTATCTCAAGAAATCAATAACTTTATCTCGTGATCTGGAGAAAACAATTATTGCTTTAACCGTAATAACGAGATAGTTTTGTCATTATCGCGAGAAGGAAAAGGAAAAAAAAATCGGGTACGACCGCTCTCGGCTTCCATAGAGGTTTTATCGAATTACAAACGGACATTTAATCAAGAGAAACTGTGTTGAAGGTTGATTTTTACCCGTTCTTTTAGTTCCAGAGCTGATCGCTCGGGGGGTGATCCATCAGATGTTTCCTCTTCATGAGCAAAGGATACTCAACCAGCTGATGACCTCTTGGGTCCAGGCTGTATGTGAACGGCAGCCCCTTGGTGAGAAACGTTACAAGGATTACTGAGCAGGACATGATGATTAGATTAGAGATCGACTGATACAGGGTTTTTAAGGCCAGTGCTGATACCCATTATTTTTTTAATCTATCTAAAGGAAACCTGATTTTTCCTTTTGATTCTTTTTTTCGGTTCAATTTTGCTTTTCTTCCTTGATTTATGTCACAAAATGACAGAATAATTAATGGTATCATTTTAAGCAAAGGGAAAAACATTTAGCAATAAATCAAAGAAAAAACAGCAACAATGAAAGCACCTCATATGATCTCGAAGCATAACTGCTAAATGTGAATGCATGAGCGAAGCAGCCATTACTGTATGGAGGGAATT